AATGTTCTGGACAGACACCTTGAGAACACATCAGGGAACACATTTTAATTTCCTAATTACTACTGCTGACAATCCATTTCAGAGCAGCAACACAGGATTTTCATGAAATCATCTCTGGCTGGTGGATTATTGTTGGGAACGATGAAGAAAACATGAGGCCCTGCTAATCTGCTTAAACTGGCTGACACTGAGCTGTCTGCTCAGCAGATTCATCAGCAAATCAGCTAGAGGACACAAGACTATACCTATTCAAGTAATAATTTATCTATCCATTTATTTATGAAAAAATAAACACTGGTAGTGTAAATTTGTTGGTGGTTTATTTCTTTTATATTTTTATACTTAATGTGTTGTTTAATAATCTAGAAGCGCATTAGTGGGTCTTGCAACAAGAGTCTTATCTTGTTCTGACGCACGAGACACGTAATCAGTAATTCCAAGGCCCATTGAGCACGGGATGGATTGTACCCCAAATCTGGTGATGATAGATAGATAGATAGATAGATAGATAGATAGATAGATAGATAGATAGATAGATAGATAGATAGATAGATAGNTAGATAGATAGATAGATAGATAGATAGATAGATAGATAGATAGATAGATAGATAGATAGATAGATAGATAGATAGATAGATAGATAGATAGGATACAGAACGACAATCTCGGTTCTCCTTGCAGGACCATGTTGTGTTATAGCGACATCTAGTGTTGCTTCTTTACACTGCAGACACCCAGGGTTTGGTTGACATCTTGTTTTACTAGTTTGTGTATTGAAATAAAAGTAGAAGTAGTGAAGAAGGTTCCTGCTTTATGGTCAGCTGGTTCTCATTAGGAAAGATCACATGATGGATTATTTTATTTTATTTTATTATTTTTTGTTGTAAGTTTCTGAAAGAGCTTAAAAGGAGTCCACAGGAAGCATTGTAAAGTATAATGCTAACAGTAACAAAAAAAAATCACTGAATTAGAATTATTTTAATTTAATATTAAAACACAGCAGCTTGGGGGAAAGTGTGCTTCTGCACTTCTGTAGATGGAAACAAAAAAATTCACATTCTGTTTTTATTTGAAAAGGCAGGGRAAAAAATGCATCAGTTGGAAGTTTATTGTTTTGTAGAAAATGTATGTTGTTTTTTTAATACAACAGAGATATGGTATGAAAGTTATGACGGGATCTTTAAAAAGCATTTTGAAAACCTTGCTTTGTGGGTCGTGACTTTGTCTACAGGTRGAAACAGACATGATTTTGTGAAATCACTGAGCTCAGGAGAACTTTTAAAACGATTGCCTGATAACAGTAAAATTAATCATGCAAAGCAATAAACAAGATCCAAAGCAATATTAAAAATTATATTAAGTTTAGCATTCATATGATCTATGTTTTTGTATAGTTTGTGTTTCAAAGGTCATTGTACAGTATTTTGGGTTGTCTTCAAAAGTAGAAGGTCTTATTGTGAACCCAAATAAGTTTAGACCATGTACTGTATTCTTGTGAATAAAAAAAAATTCTGTTTAGTTTAGGTAACATGAATCTTGGTTTATTGTTATGACTTTGTGTTCTGCAACAAACAAGCAGAGACAAGGGCTCTGGATCACACAAATGCTCCGTGAGGGTTTCTGCAACCTGATTGACTTGTGGATTCAGGCCTGTGTGTATCAGGTAAATGTAAAGGTAAAGGTGCTTTATTGGGCATATATGTTCCCACACAATGACGAAATTTGTGCTCTGCATCAGAAGCCTCAGAAGACAAATGTTTTTCAAACTCCCAAACTCTTTATTTCATTTATTAAAAAGAGAATTAAAGAAATAAATAAAATAAGAAACCCTCATTTTAGKAGAATGTATGTGACCTAGACCTCTTGTCACACCTTGCTCTATTTGCCCAGAACACAAAATCCTAACAAGATTTAAGATCTAGTCTAAACAGGACATTCTTGTTTGCAAGAAAGCACGGTACATGTGGGTTCACATGTATGAACTTGTTCTTTTTCAAACACCCACAACAACATACAATGATCTTGGACACACAGATGAAACTGGGGTTTATACTTTTTCATTCACATGGACTACAGTCATTAAAACTCAATCAGAAGACTGGACATTTAGATTCCTGCATAATCATTGGAATCAAATTGTTGCTACTATAGGAGCATATGCATGGTTGCTGTGTTGCTTTGTCTCCTACATTTTGAACAACACTAAGTCTGCAGGAACTAWGAAGATGGCCAGATTTGGTGTTTTCATGTTGTTTTTCAGGGCTCAATCATGCTGTTAGTAAGATACTTTTACTTTACGTAACATCTCACATAACATATAAGCAACAGAACAGACTWATGTGCATTTGTTGGTGTTTTTGATAAAAAACAATCTCATTTCTGTTTCACTCATGCAACTCCATGCATATCCAGAAATACACACAATTTTTTTTTCTGACCACCGCCCCCCGCCCCCAAAAGATGTACGTTTTGAATTCAGCAGTTATATCTTCAGTCTGTCCTTTTCATTTTACACTCATCTCCACGCCTCCTACACTCTGCTCCTCATAAAATGCTTCCACATTTTCACTCACATGCTATTTCATACATCCACCTCTGCTTCATCCACCTGCTGGTCCCTGAGCCTCGCCAGCGTCACACTGCTGCTCTCCTCCTCCTCCTCCTCCTCCTCCTCCTCCTCCTCCACTCTTCTGCTGGATTCACACAGCTGGTACACTTCATTACCCAGCTTGATATGTGCAGCAGTTGCGCTAAAACAAGCAATTGCAGAGATTTCTCATTGACTTCTGGTTGTCTAGAACATCAAGAATGGCTCCAAAACCTTCCATTAAAAAGTCTCCTTCACCAGAGGCCCAACCACAATTGGGWCCTCCCTACCCGTGTCTGCCTGCAGTTTCTGTAGCTCCAAAACCCACTCCAGAGCAGAAGCCGAGGATGCTACGTCCCTCCGATTCACCATTTGACCCYAGTACTTTGGAGGTGAGTAGGTTGATTTGTGGCTGCTATAGTATGTCATTGTGGGGTATTCATTAATTGTACTTTTAAAGTTTTGTTTTATTAATTTAGTCTTGTTTTATCTTCCGTGCACAATGTGTTAACCTCAGAAAGTTGTAATTACACAGAGTAGTTAAATGGGAGGATTTTATTTCATAAGATATTTTGCAAGGTATTTTTAAAATAATTGGACCACACTGTATATCAGTGATCTAAAATGAGAACAAATCTATCTTTAGAAATTAAAATGGGCCACAGTTTTCAATCAGTACCCCCCAAAGACTGTTTCCTAATACATATGAGCCATTTTTACTCATAGTAAGGGTCAGAATCCCTGCTCAAATATTAAACTACTAYATCTCAAATGATGCTCTCAGTTTCTTGTTTAATTTTGTAAATAATTRAGCATTGGTCATTCTATAAAACATGTTTTTAGTATGAAATTTCCAAATTTAAATATGTCTGCCTTCAATATACAGTACTACTGGTAGAAATGTGTGACAGTTAAACATTCAGGCATCAAAGCAYCAACATTTTACTGTAAACGTCTGATAAAATAATATATCACAAATTAATGATGCCCCACAAAAAAGTTGCTGTAACACAGTATGTCTCAGCTTGGTTGAGATTTGCTGCCACCTCCATGAGCTTCAACTGTTACATTGCATGGCTTTATAGTGCGAGACTGTCCTATTTAGCTTGTGAGAAGAAGTAGGCCACTTCTGCCCACAGGAAAGACTTCCTCCTGGGCAAAGACAGTAAGTAGAGTGACAGGGCTGTTAGAAAATGYAGCTTCACTGACCTCCACCATTCATGCATGTCCAACTTCATCCATAATACAAAGTAATCTTACTTCAAAAAGAGCTTTCATCTCTTTTGTTCATTTTTACAGTGGTAAATTTAGTTTTTTTTTTTTTTTTTTACCAGAATGTTCTCACAGGATCCTTCTAAGATGACCTATACAGGTGCTGGTCATAAAATTAGAATATCATGAAAAAGTAGATTTATTTCAGTAATTCCATTTAAAAAGTGAAACTTGTATATTATATTCATACATTACATACAAACTCATATATTTCAAATGTTTATTTCGTTTAATTTTGATGATTACAAATGACAACAAATGAAAATCTCAAATTCAGCATWTCAGAAAATTAGAATATTACTGAAGACCAATAAAAACAAAGGATTTATAGAAATGTTGGCCAACTGAAAAGGATGAACATGAAAAGTATGAGCATGTACAGCACTCAGTATTTAGTTGGGGCTCCTTTGGCCTGTATTACTGCAGCAATGCGGCGTGGCATGGAGTCGATCAGTCTGTGGCACTGCTCAGGTGTTATGATAGCCCAGGTTGYTCTAATAGTGGCTTTTAGCTCTTCTGAATTGTTGGGTCTGGTGTATTGCATCTTCTTCTTCACAATACCCCATAGATTTTCTATGGGGTTAAGGTCAGGAGAGTTTGCTGGCCAATTAAGAACAGGGATACCATGGTCCTTCAACCAGGTACTGGTAGCTTTGGCACTGTGTGCAGGTGCCAAGTCCTGTTGGAAAATGAAATCTGCATCTCCAAAAAGTTGGTCAGCAGCAGGAAGCATGMAGTGCTCTAAAACTCTCAAAAATTATGGTTGTAGGCATGCATTTTGTTAGAATTTTAAAATGGTATCTTTTACCGTAAGCTTAGACATAGTGGTTGTTACAGTCACCTGGCAGCAAGGAGCTCTCCAGTTCCACTCATGTTCTGCATCCACCTGTCTAGTTTGGATCATCCCCTTACCTTAAGAATCTTCTCTGAATTATAGTATATTCTTAATAATTAACTGCATTTACAAGCTCTCTCAAGCATAAACTGAATTTTCCAGTAAGTTTAAAGGTCTATAAGGCATGTAATTTATAAAACCAGCCACTCCTTGGTGTTWTTTCTATATAAGGTGTGCAGTCGCGTCTTCCTGCTGCGACGTCTGCGCGTACGTTGTAAACGTCATGACGCAAAGGGGTGAAGGTTTTTCTTGTTCTGCTTTGTAGTCGAGCCGTCGTTGCAGTCTTTGGTTTTCTGTCGTTTCGGACACACCTCAGCCGACACAACAATGGTGGGTTTTCTTCGTTTCAGACAGCTAAATAGYCGTAGCACAGTTATGCCAGTAGATACGAATATTTAACCAAAATATATACATATTTTGCTTTTATATARATGTTTACTTGAGCTTTAAACGTCTGAAAAGCCTCCAGGCTGTCCCAAGCGGAAGTGCAACTTTTTTAAGCTAGCWTTAGCTTTCTCTGTCCATAAAAACAAAAACGACACGGTGATATTTCCGAATAGTTTGTGTATGTGTGCGCTAGAATGACTAAATCTACTTAAACTGGAAACTATCCTGGTTTTATATCTTTAACTGTAATATATATGTCAGGGCCACTGACGTAAACCCGATTTGCTCACCAGAAACAACCATTTTCATCTCGCCTAATTTCTTTCTAAACAGTCTGACTTCTCGGAAGATCAAATCCTCGGTAAGTTTTTGAATGTGTGTGCTTGTGAGGACATTTCCACCAGTTTCTTCTTGTTTTGCATGCCTACATTCTTTGTCGTGTCCGGTGACATGTTGCCCCGTTTCATTGCTTATCACCCCGCGTTTTGTTGCAGCCAGTAGTCGTGGTKTAGGCTTTATTTTCCCTTCCTTCTCTATACTTTTCTTATCACTATACTTCTTGCAACTGCTTGTTCTTTTCAGATTGAATTTAACCTGGATCAAATCCATGGTAAGTCGGTGAGGAGGTCACGTCTTGAATAACAAAAGAAGAACAGTTGCTGTTCTTCTTGTTTAGGGTGTGATCTGCATGTCAGTCCTGGAGCCATATGTACTAAATATGAATTTAAAAAAAAACTGCTTTATGCAGTTGTCCAGTTCATCAAAACACTCCTACAATGTATAAATCTCACCATCTTTTGGTGGTTTTTGTTTATTGATGTTTTACAAAGCCAAACATAGTCTTTGGTCAGACTGTGTTGGGTCCTGCTTTTATCAGATTGTTGTCATCATGCTTTCCTTGAATTGTTTCTAGTAGCTCATCTGCAGTGTGCCCATTTTTGGTGCTGGATAAAGTGGTGGATGCGTTTGTTCCAGAGCTAGTTTGTTTAACTTCTGACATAATAGGCCAAGCTACTCTCACTCTCCTCCTACTTTCCTCCACTCCTCTGATACCAAATATGGTGCTGGGAATAGTGCTAACATGCCAGAAGGGAAGAGGCACATTCCTCAGAATGGGGAGAAAAAAAACACTCCACAACTGTGCCTGCATTTTTGGGTAAACTTGTCCCTAAGAGTAGAAACACCCTTCTTCCTGGATGTTGCGCAGTTTAACTCATGTCTCCCTGGAGGTTAGGTATAAAGCTTTTATTAGTTTGATTATAAGTAGACTGGCTGATGTCAGATTAAAGCAATATTGCACAATGACTATTGATAAAGCGCATTTGGCTCCACATAAACAAAAATGCTTCATACTTGTTAATTTGAATATTATAGAATAATTTAGACCAATTAAACTTTTAGGAGTTATTCAGTAGCTGATAAGAAATCAAAAGTTTCATCTTTTATCCACGCGTACACATCTTTTACATTTTATAGTTACAGAACATTAATGCATGTTTTAGAGCTTTAGGACATTTAGAATTTGAAGAAGTTTTGAACTGATGAACTTCATTCATAGGTCTAGGTAGCGTTCCTTGAATGCATGTCAGATGACCTTTCATGCCAGATTTTTTAGATTGGGTTATGATAAATGTCAGTTGTAGTCATTTTGGTCAGACCTTGTAAATTATTTTATACAATCTATGTGATGTGTTAGAGCTTGGATTGTGTGTTTGAGGATGACACTCATTTACTACCACACTAAATTGTAGCTTGTTATCTGTATTTTGCAATGGTCAATTTATCTGTGGCAGCCACTGAATGCTGATTCCAAATGTAAATAAGCTGTAGATGTACATTCAGTGACCTGACTAAAATTTCTCCAATGTGAGCCATTGTTAAAGTTTAAAGCAAAAATATGARGATGACTCTCAGATCATAATGAATGGGTAGGTGTGCAAAAAYATTCACTGGGACCTTTTTAGGGAATATAGAAATGACAGTTGACTGTTCACRGAGCATGTTGTGCTTTTAAAGCAAAGATAACTTAAGCATGTACTTAGYGACTAACATGATTGGGAAATGCATTTTCTTAACTGAGAAAGTTAGAATTATGTTTACTTTGTCAACTAGCATACCACAGAGAAGGACTATGCTTTTTGTCGCAATAACATTACTACTGATAATGTGGGGGGTTAAAATACAAGTTAAAATGYTTGTTTCAAATGAATCCAAGGATGGATACATCATTTTTAGCTCACATTCTCTAAATCATACCATGGAGAATCGAGTCCTCCTTTTTTTTTTTTTTACTTGTTATATTCTGATCTTTTCTGGTTTGATTGCTTGTTTTCAGCCTGTGCTCCAACCCTTTTTATTTTCTGTGTATTGCTTCTGTATATATGGCTGCTTATGTATTTGTTTGTTTTTATTTGTGGTTGTTATCCCTGGTAGTTATTTATTCAGTCATGTGTCTTTGTCCTGCAGAGTATAAGGAGGCATTCCTGCTGTTCGACAGAACAGGAGATGGAAAGATCAGCTTCAGTCAGTGTGGGGACGTGATGCGGGCCCTTGGACAGAACCCTGTTAATGCTGAGGTGCTAAAAGTCCTGGGCAATCCCAAAGCTGAGGGTAAAAAGAAAATTTATAAGCTTATAACAAATACTCTAGTTTGTTTTGTTTGTCTATTTATTTATTTATTTATTTATTCATTCATTCATTCATTCATTCATTCATTCATTCATTCATTCATTCATTCATTCATTCATTCATTTTTTTAACTTCATGTTGTTTAGTTCTTTATGAAGAGTCTACTAGTGGTCCTCAATCCTGGCCCTCAAGGGCCATTGCCCTGCATGTTTTAGATGTTTCTCTGCTTCAACACACCTGATTTAAATAAATGAGTGATTAATGGGCTTCTTCAGAATTGAAGACATGCTGTAGAGCAGGGAAACAACTTAAACATGCAGAATATTGGCCCTCGAGGACTAGGATTGAGGACCACTGGTCTAGACTGTGGACCTTTTTTGTCAAATTTAAAATCAGATTTGCAATTCTGAACACTTGGAAATATGCTCTGAATACATATCAGTATTAGGATGGACAAGGCCTGTCATCTCCATTATGCCCAGTGGGCGCAATTAAAACATTTTGGGTTGCCACATGGCCATGTCTGCTCAATAAGCAGTCAGGTCTTGCCTTTCAGCTTCTCCTTACAATTATTGATTTGTTTTTTTAATATAAAAAGATCATTTGTATCCTCCTGTGGGCAGACCTGTCCAAAGTTTCTGATTATCAATAAATKACATCAACCATTCTTTAAGTTTCTCCTGAAATTTACCATTTGGAGATCATGAGCTATTGGTGGAAAATAACCGATTTTCTTTATTTTTTCATTTATTTATTTTTTACGATTAATCACACTTCTTTTTGTATCTTCCCTCCTGATATTAAAAATGGTAAACTTGCATCATGTTAGAAATTTTTGCATTGTCAACATCAAACCATGGAAACAGACCTCCCAAGTTGTTTCGTTTATACAAACCTTTGTTTTTGTTTGTTTGTTTTTTGCAGAGATGAACACCAAGATGCTCGACTTTGAGCAGTTCCTGCCCATGTTTCAGGCCATCGCAAAGAACAAAGATCAAGGCTCCATGGAGGACTTTGTGGAGGGACTTCGTGTTTTTGACAAGGAGGGTAACGGAACAGTAATGGGAGCAGAACTACGTCACGTCCTCACCACGTTAGGCAAGTCACACTCAAACACAGTATCTAATGAATACATCAGTAAAAGTATTGTTTCACGTTGACACTTTTTTAACTTATAATGATAAACAGTACTGAAAACTGAATTTGCATACTAGCAATGGAAGTAAAATGTAATGAACAGGTATCTCTACATATTTTTTATACTGTACTCAGAATATATTGGTTTTARAAATCTTTGACATGTAAAATATCGATACTATAAATAAATGGTTTTACTTTTCTTTCAGGTGAGAAAATGACAGAGGAAGAGGTGGAGACTCTCTTGGCTGGACACGAAGATGCAAATGGCTGCATTAATTATGAAGGTGAGAGCAAGAAAAAGCTTTGTAAAACTTAATACTCAATAATTAGACGCAAGTAAAGCTGTTTGGTTTATTGATCACAAATAGTCTTGATTCAATCATCTTGAAATCTCATTGATGCATGGCACTGCTGTTTTTAATTTAAAACTGTTTAATGTCAACTAAGGGTCCAAGTGTAATTTAGATTTTTGTGAATGCATTTTTTTAAGTTTTAATAGAATACCTGAAAGCCTTTTCAGTACTAAATGCAGTTTTGAATTTGGCACCTACAAGGTAGTATTTTGCACAAGCTTAKAGTAATTGTAACATTTCCTCAGATCTGAAAAAACAAATCCTCTGATCTGTAGTAAAAGCTTGAGTAAAATATCGTGCATTTGACATTGATGTTAGTGTTGAAGTTCTGYGTTTATTCCATTGTAGTATTAATAATATGAATGACCAATGACCCAAAMTTCAGCATACTCAACCAAAACAGTGGTTTCTGCAATTAGAGCAGATCTGGATCCTCAAACTGCCTAGACTAAAATCATGTCATGTAATTTATGTGACGCTGACTTTAGTCTGTGTTCTAATTTTCTGCATAAAATTACTTGGCACACCGTTTGGAATGGATCACAGGGAAATAAAAAAAAAATGTAATTCAACAGTAATCCATGACTGAAGTTTTCAACAGGACCTTTCTGGGAGCTTCAGATAATTTTTGTTCTCTTCTGACAACTTATTACTGAGTCGTGATGAACTTTAATTAAAATGTAATTTCTGACAATGTGTTTAAATGTTCTTCCTCTGCAGCATTTGTTCGCCACATCATGTCAGGCTGAGGGCTGGTACGGGCGTTCATGTAAACCTTGGGAATACACCTCCAGGCTTTCCTGCTCTTGTTTTGCTAAAAAATTTCAATCCATCTAAACTTAACCTAACAATACTAGTTTCTGGTTGTTCAGATTGGCAACAAGGAACGAGCTGTTTTAAAGTAGATGTGACCRTTAAGTTTCAGTGCCTGGCAGTGTCCCTCACCTTCAGCCCCGAGGCTCTGAACAAAGTGAATCTTCCTGCCRCTGTTTTTCTCTCCTGCAGCCCTTTGCCTTGGCACCTGGCTGCAGCATGCCTCTCTGCATGCGTCTGAGGCTCCTTGCAGTTTGTACGGGGAAAATGGTGGAGACAGGGAAGAGACTGGTCTCATTCAGGCAAAACCTGGTGGTAACTCGTAAAACGCACTGTGGTGTTGTCAGGCTTTTGCCATTTCATTTGCATATTACTGGTGCTTTTTAAAACGGGTCTTGTCTTCAGATGGTGTCAGATGAGTTTTACGTGTATGTAAACACCAGGTTTGGGAGAATAAACCAGTCCCTTTGTTTTCCCACTACTAACCAAAATATTACATTAAGTTGCTCTTGTGCTGATGTTTTTCTCTCATGTACTGATGAAAACTGGAGTTATAGCTGGCTGCTCTGACTGGACTCTAGCTCCCCAGACCTCCCCTTTTCTCTACTTCTCAGCATAAGGAAAGCATACATCGAGGATGGCTTCTCTAACCAACTTTCTGTGGATCTTAGGAGCCAGCTGCTTTGGCTGAAAGGAGATAGAAATAATTATCTCACCTTTTAATAAATAAATTTACACATAAATACCTTCTATGACTGACCCTCATCTTTGCTCTGGGTGAGCAGAACATGGAGGGTGGGGGGATCTCCATATGCCTCGTCTCTTACTAAAGTTCACCTTGCTGTAGCTGAAGGATGTCTCTCGCAGTATTTTAAACAAACTAATTATTTATTTTTTCTCTTACAGAACTCGTCAGAATGGTTATGAGCGGATGAGGATGAAGACCATCATATTGTTTCYCCCACTTTTGTCATGTTCATTTTGGCATTTAGTTTTTCAGGCCTCCACAATTTTTTCCAAGAATTTGTTAGACAGTTTTAATTTAAGAAGTGCCTTTACATTCCTTAGAAAATATTATAGATGACCCTTTTTCAGCTCTATACACATGTATGAGAAACTTGTATCGCAATATGTCATAAAGCAACATTTATTACAACATAAATTAAAGTGCTGTAACTGTTGATGCCAGTTTGTCAACGTTGAAAAGAAAATAAATATTAAATTACACTGAATTCTACTGGTAATCTGCTGTTTCATTGGTTAAGACTATGTTGAATATAGAAAAAAAAGTATATCTAAAGCCATAGTTGTAACAATTACAAATGGGTTCCCATGTTTCTAATGTGCCAAAGTCTGGCTACATTTTAATGTCTTTCCTTAAACATTACTGTATAATTTGGTGTAAATTAAGGAAAGATTCATATATTTTTGAGTGCAGTTGTCTTTTTTTATTTTTACCAGAAGAGGGCAGTGTTGCTTCTTGAATCTTGCAAAAGAGTCTCCAAATCATCATGTATAATACAGGATTGTTTTCATCAACTTTTGTTGTGCTAAATCAAAGTTAATTACACTCTTAGCCATTTATTCTTGGCTATATTTTACGGTTTGAATTAAAAATTTCAGATTTCACTTAAAAAAAAACTTTTTTTTCTTTCCTCTTTAAAACTGACAAGGCCCTGACATGAGCAGTAAAGGGCTGCTCAGTGGTTTTCTGACCTTTTCCTAATTTAGCTCTCAAGCAGTCTCAACTATTTCCCCTCATTAGGCACTGAAGCTGTGTGTGTGTGTGTGTGTGTGCGTGTGTGTGTGCGCGCGCGCGCGTGCACGTGTGAGGTGAGGTTTAGGAGGGTGTCATAGTCCACCGCTGAATAGGTTCGCCGCTAATTACTCTGTGTGTGTGTGTGTGTGTGTGTGTGTGTGTGTGTGCGCGCGCGCGCGTGCACGTGTGAGGTGAGGTTTAGGAGGGTGTCATAGTCCACCGCTGAATAGGTTCGCCGCTAATTACTCTGTGT